CGTCACTTACTGCTTATAACAATCTGATTTTTATCAAAGAAAGTGGTAACAGTGAAGCGCCAAGTAATAGCATATTTATAAAGCAATATTAAAATGACTCGGAGGATCTTCCAGTGATTTCTAAGGATTTTGCTGATATTCCTGGTTACCATTATTCCAAGAGGTGGTTACTAGAAGCTTACAAGTAATTGGGAGTTGGTAAGAACGAACTGAAAGATGTAAGAGATGAATAGAAAAGATAAACGGATGTGAGACGTAAAAACACAAATGTTTTTATTGCACACTTAACATCATATAACACGATGTCGAAAACATCTAGGTGTTAACATATAAAAATTAAACTAAAAGTATGAATAACTGATTTAAAGCAATTCTAGGGTATTTACAGTTTACGCTTAAAGGAATACAGAATACACATACTGTTGTGACTGGATTTTATAGCCGAGACAGGACGCTAAAAGAAAGACGTCTGCTGTGGGAATGAAAGATAAAGTCAAGACTCCGAAAAGCGCAGTACAGAAGAGGCAACCCAGGGTTCACATCATTCAAGGCACGATATTCTGAGAAAAATCTCGTCGCTATCATAGAAACGAGTGGTGGTGAAGGGTGTGAAGCTAAGGATGCGATATAAAACACGGGAATATGGAAAACTTTGTGGTGATAGCAAAGACAGGATCTAAGAATATGTGGATTTAGTATGTGTATTATAGGGATGTGAAATTATGACGTGAGAATTTCTTTTACAGTATTACAGAGCTCAATTTCCAAAGATTTTTCCTCCAATTTTCTATACTTTGTATAATACACAGATTTTTTTCTAAATAAAAGTCTCAGAAAACAACTATTTCTATCTGTTTATCAGGAGCCGAGCGTGGCCTAACGTTTAGTGTGTTGGGGTCTTTTTGAAGGGTATGAGGTTCGAGATGCAATTCGTTGAACTTGCTTCGCACTTTCATCTATGGGTATTTTACAAAAGTGATAATCTTCCCGCTATTTAGTTGAAAGACTTTGTTTCTTCAGCTGTTGTTGGCTGTTTACCTTTCATCTGGTCAGTAGTCCAAAATTAGAGATGACTATAGCTAAATCCTAGTGAGCATAAGTTTACGTTAAGATTTAAAACTTCAATACCAGTTCTATATATGTACTTATTCATCTGTTTATTTCATATTTCTACTATTATAATATTACAATATAAATGTTTTTTATGTTTTTACAAAATAATGATTAGTTGATACATTTTAGAATGCAACTTATCCAAACATTCCATGGAATGCAATATATAAAATGCTTTTGATGTTTCCAGAAAGGTGTACGTGTGTGATAAACTTTTGAATCTAGGTGGTAATAATTTTAAAAGTGATACTGACCTCTTTATATATAATTTACTATATGTTTTAACTCCTCACTGTATGACTGTAATAAGAACGTGTAGTTTGAGTTGTTTTTTCTGTTTATACTAGTTATTCGCTAGTCGCCATGATTTTTGAACCTAAATATACATATTAATTTAAACAATGAAGTTTGTGGAATAACAAAAGGAAGAGACTAATAGCAAATATTTAACGCATATCATTAGTAAACCATCTTATTCTAATTAAAATTTAGCATATTATATATATATGTAATGATAATTCTTTGAATATATTAACACGCACAAATTATTCTCAAAATAAAGATATAAACGTATTTTCCTGAAATTATAATGTACAAAAGAAATAAAAGATTTTCACGATATTTCTTGTTTAACAATACCTAATATATATTTTAGTTCAAGTTTTCTTCAATAGAGAGCGTCAGTAACATAAAAAATTCAAAAGAAACTGAGAAAAAGTATTTTCATTCCATTAAGTTGAAAAAGTTCTGCTACTGCATTTGCTCTAAACGAAAATGCCCCCCAGTGGCACAGCGGTATGTCTGCGGACTTACAACGCTAGAATCCGGGTTTCGATACCCGTGGTGGGCAGAGCACAGATAGCCCATTGTGTAGCTTTGTGCTTAATTACAAACAAACAAACTAAACGAAAATAATATAAAGTGATTATTTTTCGAGTGGTTTTGAAATTGAACTATAAGTGTCTTTCTAGCATAGTTTAAAACATGGAATAAAATAAACGGGGTAAAACAGTATAGCCTGAATTATTTGGTATGGAACTCTTTGATTTCGATTATTAATCAAATGCGTAACATAACAAACTAATAAACTGTAGTCCTCCCACGTGGGGATGAAAGTTGTCTGATTTTTTTAGTCAGTTAGTTGTATGGTATTCGCAAGGTCAGTACTTCAACATTCAGTAATAGATAATTGAGTTCTTAAATGTTTTTGTTTTACAGGGTTTTAGAATTTTAACTTTTTAATATTTCGAATTTTTAATTAGAGATATTTAAAAAATTAATGTTGAACGAAGTGATAGAAGTTTATCCCCCCCCCATAAAATATTTAGATAAGCCATGGTTATCTAGCAAACAAATTTATTGCCAAGTGTGTGCCAACCAAATTGCAGGCTGCGTGAGAGGTGTTACACTCACCACAATATTTCGGAGTATAGACTCGTGTAACACTTGTTTCACATCTCTTTTTAATACGTTAGTAGTTAAGGTGAAAAGATCTCCGCAGCTCAGTTTAAATATTGTCATATCAATTACCGTATCAACTACGTAGACAAATAAGGTGGGTACAGATATATTAATGTTACGAAAAACTACACGTATCAACCCGCATATAAAATGAGCCTCAACAGCCATTATTTTTCTGAATTGACATCAATTGATTATAAGCTTCACGTGATAAAGGACTAGTTATCCCATATTTAATTACAAAAAAAAAGATATCAGAGTTTTATGAAACAATAAAACTGTATTGTGAAAACTTATTTTCTGAAGAAGCGGTAGTACAGAAGTTGAATATATTAACATGATTTTAGAACACCACTACATTGTTATGAGTGTGGTTTGTCTGGCAACAGTGTGTTTTGACAATATTCCGGAAGCATAGTTTACATCGTAAAAGGCTTTGTCATAAGGCTATCATATCTAAAGCACATCCTCCTTCCTACGTTTCCACAATCTATCTAGTGTACGAAACCGACAGTTTCCCAGCGCTCGATTAAACATTAAAACAGAAATCTATAGGCTTTGTGTTTGCCGACTTGATCACTATGTCTTTGTATGGGATAGCATAAATACCCGTTTCATTCTCCATCAGTTTGAGATACGTTATGATTGAACAATGTGTTGTGGAAGCAATTCGTGTACATGTGGCTTGTGTCGCTTGTTCGGATAGTTATTATTATTATTATGTTGCTTACTGTTGCCTGAGGCATGTGGACGACTTTTGTTACTAACGTTTGTGTTCGTGAACTTTCATCTGTTACAAGACGCCATACTTTGCTTACAACGGTTGGGGTACGATTTGTTGCAGGTCTCTTTCAGGATGTTTCTGGGACCCCAAGTTCATCCATATTCCTTTATTTCCAATGCCATTACGTATAAGAGATATTCCCGTCACGAAAATTCTTATTCCTTGATGAGAACACATCTTTATGATCTGAGTGTACGAATATTTTGTATCCAAAAGAGTTGTTACATACACATTCTGAAAGCGATCATTTTCGGTGGTATCACACTACCTACGCCCGTGGTGGGCAGAGCACAGATAGCTCATTGTGTATCTTTGCGCTTAATTACAAACAAACAAACACTATCTACGAAATGTGCAAATAATACCAAAATGTATTTCTACATTCCATTCCACCGCTACCACATATTGGTTGTCATGTGAGTTTCTAATTTGCTTATTCAAAATGGTTTTAATATGACGTATACAACCCTTTGCAGTACTATAAAAAATAATTTATGATGCGAGATGACTTATTCAGGCATATAAAAAGGATAAATGCAATCATAATTATTATGCTTGCTGACACAGTCATTATAGCTAACTACATATGTTTTTCCATAAAACTAAATGATCAAATAACTACTATATTAAGATATGTATGAATAAATCAGAAAGTGTTTATGTAGAACACATCTTAAATATTATCAATTCTTTTGCAGAAAATCGTGATTTCATTTTTAAAAAATTTTGGCTAAAATAATGTTGTATTACAAGTTACACTTGGCTAGCAGTGCAAGATCTCATCAATGGAGGTTCTGTATTTGCTAAATGTACATGGCTCCAAATAAAAGACATTAACACCTGTGGTTTCATTTGGATCAAAAGAACACTTTTACTTAACAAATATAGTGAGAGAGAAAAATACCAGGACAAAGAACGCATGAACAAAATCACCCTTTCTTTGCAGGCCAACTAGTCTGCATGTGACTACTGAACAATGAGCACAGATGTTTACATAAAATGAAGACCAGGCCAAGATCTCAGAAAAAAACCAGCTTTGGTTAGGTTTGTATTCAATCTTAAGCTCTATCAGTCTTTTCAGAAGAACAAGCCATCCATGTCACCAGATGGGCCCTATTAACAATAAAAGGGAGTTAGCGTTCCAACTTCTCAGTCCTTGCACATAATCGACATGAAATGCATTTATACATTGTACTGATGCGTGCTGTACATGTTTTTCAGTAATTAAGTCAGACATCAGAATAGACAGATTGCAGTATTACACCTCTCAACATGGAAAGACAACTTCTAAAGGCAAGATTGATGTGTTTAAGGTTGTGTATATCTTGTTTGTTTGGAGCTTGTAACTAAATACAAAATATTGTACTGAACGTTTGAAAAAGTTTATGAATAAAATCATATTTATATTCTACGTTATGAAGATGATTATTTATGTCATCAACACATCACACTCTTTTTATCTTTAAGCTGTCTTTTGAAACTAAAACAGAATACATCTTGTTAGTACATTGCAATCTAAGATCATGCAACAAAACTGTAACCTTGAACCTGGGAAACACCAGTGTCGTGAAACTAACACGGGACAATGTCTAACACGGGTAAGTTCTATAAACTAGTCACCCATAGAACCATCAGATTCGTCCAGTTTTCAAAGGAGTCAGTTTGAAGAACTTGTCACACGTACAATCAAACAGTTTGTTGACAAGGATAAAGGTTTTCGGTTGTTTTAGTTAGGGTTCTTAAGATACAGTCTAAAGTAATAAGATCAACGTATTATTGTTGCTATGATACACACGTATCGAGAGTAAAATGGATTTTTTTTTTCAAATTAAATCATTCGATTTGTCATACTTAGTCGTGTTTGCAAAGCAGAATTTCTTATCATTGTCACTTTACTTGAAATTGCCGGGACACTCGGACTTTTATTTCAAAATATTGGACATAATGATAGTTCCCACACTGAATTTTTTACTTACATATTTTCATGTGTTTTAGTAGAGCTTTGACTCTTTAATAAGAAATATTTTGTCATCAAATGGCAATCTAGCAGGCAACATTTATAGACAAATCAAGTTGTTAGTTATGACTGAAATACAGAGGCGACCACTAAGGCCACTATGAAGAGCTCATTTTCCAAACAGATTATTCATTTGTTAAAAATTAAGATCAGATGTTTGGAGCTTTGTAGGGCTAACAGGTTTCAGACGATTATAATAGTTAAATATTCAAAGGTTTGCCCCATTCTCGAATAACATGTTCAGTTTTCAAAAGTATTTGGTTTAGACAGTGGCCATTTTTCGGAGTTTAGCAACTGAAGTGGTCACAGGGGAAGTGTCAGGATCAAGAGCAATCAGTTCCTGGGTGTCAGTTAGTACTGATAGAGACGGGTTTTCTGCCATTTACATGACTTCCTCTGTAGCTCAGTGGGAGAGTTGGAGTGATATGAAGTCCAAGGAAATCATATTTTCCCCATTT